TAATAAAGCATTTTGGTTCCCCAGTATAACTTATTATAAAAATGTGATCCATTAAAAATCCTTATTTTTTTTCAATCTATTAAAATGTTTGGGTATCTTTTTCAAGGACTAAATTTCCTAGAATGAATTCCTTCTCATTTGCAATTTCATGAATTCAATAATGCAAAATTTCTCCAAAAGGAATTTATCCATGTGAGCATACAAAGATAAATGTGTAATCCTCATACACTTTGAAGTGAGGTAAAATTTTGTTGAATAATTTACATATACATAATAGTAATTTCCTTATGCCATTTTTTTCTTATCACAGCAGATGACTTTCACTATGAACACTTCCACTTTTTATTTCATTTCTTAGCCATCCTTACTAGAAACTGGGATAGCTAAGGGCACACTATGTTGCTATATACTGCTATGAATTGTTCTTCAATTCAGACAGTGGAGTGAATGTGTTTGATACAACTGGCTTTGATATAATTTTTTTTTCTCTCAGTTCCACATTTTGCTTTAGATATTATTTATGGAGTGTAAATCTCATATTTCCACATCTCTTTCTCTTTTTTTCTTAGTTATGTCCTCCAAGAATTAAGTCACATCAGTCCTAACATTGAGATTTCAATCCAGGGTAGGGAGTGATCTGTTTTGATAAACAGCCATAATATTACAGGGAAATAATACCATGTAAAGCTTCCGTCACAAAAATCACACTTGTGGAAGATTTTTTAAAATCAAACAGGAACAATAGGTACAATAAAACACATAGCTATTAGGAGACACTGAAGGGATGCTAAGACTAGTTGCCAAGATAACTCACTATAAAACTCAACAGTTTTAAACATTCTACCACATTAATTGAACAAAAGTGAACAAATATGAAATATTCCATGTATTTTTATTACTTTGAAAAAATAATACACTGTTTTTATCTGACCAAAGAACTTTAGATACTTGGACTAAGAGATACATGGGAATGTCAACAAATTTAAATTGCAATCATATATGTGTGATGGTTTTGATAGGCCAAATTGAAAAGAAAAATAGAAATATATAAAACTTAAGAAATTAATGGTAGTATAACACTGTATCATACTTATCGAGTATTGGCTTATGACTAGTATGAACCTAAACATGTAATACATATTAAAATAGAAAAATATGAAAACCACTTTTACTCAACATTTCCTTTATGCCACATACTTATTACTTCAACCTATCTAATATAAATTTACATGTACTCTGAAAGGGAAATTTAGAGACTAAGAAAAGAGTACTCAGTTTTCAGCTGTTCTCATGAAAGTATATTTCAGATCAGATAGTTGTTAACTCCAAAACATCTCCTAAATTAGACTTTCACAAACAATCCATGATGAAAGACTGTATACTTATAATTCTAAAATCTTACAAATCAAAGCTTTTGAAATACAACAAAGTGAATAATTAAAATTTTGTAAAATATAAAATATCCAACTCCAAATTTTATTTTTAAATTTAACATGCAAAATTACTTTGTCAGATTGTTAAAAATTTTTGAAGTGCTTTTCCTCAATCTTATGCTTAGTGCTATGCACTAATAAAGAATCCCTGGATTAGCCTGGTCAACAAACCATAATCAGAGTAGGCAGCCAATATATTACCAAACAAGAACCTATTGGTATTAGTATTTCTTAAAGAAATTATTGTTTCTGTTTTTGTGAAGCGTTTGTTTCTTTGTTTGTTTGTTTGTTTTTGCAATGCTAGGGATCAAACCTGGGCCTTCAGCATACTAGGCAAGTATTCTACCACTGAGCTACATAAGACCCCAAACCCTTAGCGAAATTTTTATAGGGCTAACAAGAATCATAACCAATGGAAAATATGCATTAATGTAAGGAAATATTTCACCATTTAAAATATGAAGATGTCCACATCTAAGCCCTGGAACTATTAGTGTATTGCCTTTATCTGCAAAAGGGACTGTATAGAGGTAATTAAAGTGTAAAGATGGTGAGAGTGCACTGGAATACCTGGATGGGCCCAATGTTATCTCAAGGTCTTCATAAGAGAGAGACAGTGAAGAGTCAGAGAAGGAGGTCTGACAATAGAAGGTGAAGTCAGAAAAGAGAGAGAGAGAGAGAGAGAGAGAGAGAGAGAAAGAGAGAGAATATCTAGGGGTGCTGTGCAGCTGGCTCTGTGGAGGAAGGAGATGGAAGAAGAAGGAGGAAGGTGCCGCAAAAAGGATGCAGGTGGTTTCCAGGCACAGAAAACAGCAAAAACTAGATGATCCTGTAGAGCCTCCTAAGAAATGCAGCCCTACAAAAGCCTTAATTTGGGGGAACTTCTCACTCTTGGAACTATGAGATAATAAATTTATATGGTTTTCAGCTGCTAAATATAACAATGATAACTTGTTATAGCAGCAATTAGAAACTAAAATATTTCTGAAGCTAGAAAGTGGGAATCTCATGGTAATATATACTATTTTAGGTATTTTAGTAGAAGGGAGCTGTTGTATTAGTAAGGGGCAAAGGCTAGACGAATTTTGAAAAGTATGATAGAAAAATTCTAGATTTCCCCAGATTGTTTTTAAAAACATGGATGTTAAATGCTTGGCTTGTGAGAGCTTAGAAGAAAGTGAGGAGCTTATACAGAAAACCTTTGTCATCTTGGAGAATACTTAAATTATCATAAACAGATTGGTAGAAATATGGACATTAAGAGAGACATTGGTGAGGGCTCAGAAGGAAATAAGGAACATGTTATCAGAAATTAGAAGAAAGGAAATCTTTATTAAATAGTGGCAGAAGGCTCAGCTGAATTGATTCCTCCAAAGTCAAGAAAACAGAATTTTAAGTGATGAACTTAGATGTTTGGCTGAGGATATTTCTAAGCAAAGTGTTGAAGGAGTGGCCTTTTTTCTTACTGCTTATAGCTAAATGTAAGAGAAAAGAGGTGAATTGTTAAGGGAGAATTGTTAAGCTCAAAGGAATCAGGACTTGATGATTGGGAAAATTCTCATTCTGCAAAGATTGCAAAAGACACTAAAATTAGAAGACTCACTTTCAGGAAAACATGTTTGGAAAGAAAGCCAATTGCATGACTGAATAATGTTCTGCTAGTACCTTGTAAGGATAAAAAGCTCAGAGCATTCAGTCACATAGAGGCTTCTGTGAAGAGATCAGGCATGTGATTCATGAACTCCGTAAGCCATTTCAATAATGGGAAAAATGGAGATGGAATTATCCAAGAAAGATCTGTGAAACAGACTATTTTATCATGGAACAAATTCCAGACACGCATGAGAAAAATCACAGAGTTCTTGGGATTATGAGTAGAAACACTGTCAATGTGGATTGAAATAGAAAGGAAAAGAGTCTAATTCAAAAAAGTTAGGCTCCCCAAATTCCACCTGTAAGGGATGAGGTGACAACAATGTTCAACTGACAACCTGTGCAGCCCTTTATGAAAAAGAAGTGATACCCAGGTTACAGACCCAGCTCCTGAGGATACAGGGTTATTCACAGGCCTTTAAAATCTAATGGAGTTTGTCCAGGTGGATTTCTAAATTTCTTGAGGCTGATAACTTTTTTCCCTTGCACTTTCTTCCTTTTTGAATTGAAACGTTGGTAACTGCTATCCTTTATCTGTCCCACCACTTCACTTTGGGAGCATATAATTTGCTCTGCACTTTCACAGGCACAAAGAGGAACTTTGATCAAGGATAGATAACAAATAGATTCTTACCTATAGCTAATTTCAGGTCAGAAATACTTTCATATTGAAATTAGGTGAGATTTTGGACTTATTGCTATAATGGATCAAGACTTTGGGGGACTTGGGTATCTACTGAATATTTTTTCCTCATGGGAAGAAATATGAGTCTTTGGGGGCCTGTAGACCGACTGTGGCAGGCTAAATAGTGGTCGCCCTCAAACATCCATGTTCTAATCCTTGGAAACTGTACACAAGTTGCCTTAAATGGCAAAAGGGGCTTTTCAGATGTGACTAAGTTAAGGATCTTGAGATGAGGAGATTTTTCTAGCATAATATCAGAATCCTTGTGTAGAAGAAGGCCAGAGAGAGGGTCATTGTAAAAGAGCAGATATGAGAAAAAAAATAGAGGTCAGAGAAAGAAAGAAATTTGAAGATGCTCTATATTACTCTCTTTGAATATGGAGCAAGGGGCCAAAGAAAGCCAAAGGTTTCTGAGAACTGTAAAAGGCAAAGAAATGGTTTTCTGCTATAACCTCCAGAAAGAATACAGCCCTGCCCATACCTTGACTCTAGAACTTTTGGCCTCTAAGGCCACCATACAATAAATTCACATTGCTTCAAGCCATTAACTTTCTGGTAATTTGTTACAGCAGCTATAACCAATAGAAATAGCCTCTAACCTAATTTGATATAATAATTCTCTAAAAACGTACCATAAAAAGATTAAATTTTCATATTTCAAGAGTTTCAGACTTAACATAGAATAAAACATGCTTGTTAAGACACACAAAAAATTAATTTTCAAAACTTAAAATCCTGAGGATATTTTTTTTCCTGTTGATAATCATTTTGTAGAAATGTAACAACTGTGACAACACAAAAATGGAACGCATCATCCAACAAGATGAATTGTGCCTTGTGAACTGAAAGAAAAGTAATTCAATAAATATTGCTCTTAAATAGTCAATCGTTTTTCCTACCTGTGCATTAGTGTCTGAAATTGAGCAAGGGATGGTTTATTTAGACTTTGAATTCATTACAGCAAATGAGGGCCCCCTTCACCAAGGCCCTCCCTCTTCAATTATCTCATCAACTTAATTTCAAAAATCATACAAATAGCTTTTAAAAGCCACTTCAAATCATATATAGAGTAATGAGACAGGCCATGGTTCAGGAAATAATATATATTCAGTAATCAGTATTATAGCATGATTTATAATCTTTTAAGGATTTTTCACTTCTTTGGATGATTATGATGGAATCATAATAGAACCCTAAACATGTAGCGAGTACTGAAAAGCATCCCTTACCTGTGTAACCAGTGGCTCCAGAAGCCTTTCCACTGTTAGTGTCCGGATTTCCAAACTTTTGGGGTCCCATTTTAAAATGATAGGTGAAGTTGCCGAAGTCATGCTCCCTACGGAAACACAACGTTATCAGTTAGAAATAATGGTCTTGGAAGTTAAACTATTCCTGCAGGGGTTCCAAATGAACAAATCATTGAAACTTCAACACATTTGAAGATTATGTTTTTGATCCAGTCTTGTCAGTTAGAGACAAGGAAACCAGAACCAGTGTGGTAGGAGGTGGAATGTTGGAATCAGATTTAAAAATGGGAGTGTCTTGAGCATCTGTGTACATCGGACCAACTTTAGGGACCCAGTTGTCACTGGACTGTTTCATTTAGCCAGCGTTTAGTCCACAGTCCTATCTGCTTTCTGGGAAAGACTTAGATCTTCCCATTGTATAACTTATGGTGTTAAGATAGAGAGTCAAACCAGGGAGCAATGAAGTCTCAGCATGATACACATTATGATCAATGAATTCTGAGTGTGAGAAATGAAGAAGGGACATTGAAGTCAGTCTGGAGGGGACCAACCAAGACTACCGTGAAGCAAAGTAAATCCATTATTATCACCAAATTGCAGGACCCCATGTCATTAACAAAGACTGAATGTTTTCTTCATAAGTGACTACTGAGGTTATCAATTGCTTGGGACAATAGGGTTTCACTCTCTTAAACAGCAAAGATATCTTGCAAATTCGTTGCAAAGGGCTCTGAAAATGAGCTTGTAGCTATTTACATATTTTCTGATTAGTCACTACATTTACCTTCTTGTCCCATAAAATTAGTATCTGATAAGGTTATTTATCTCACTCTCAAGTGCCCAAGTTTCACTGACAGGCATGCAGCAGGCTCTCACAGATCAAGAACTAAATGTGGTCCTGGCGATACTATATAATAAAGTATTCATTCTATCAGGGGTCTCTTTCTTATCAAGAAATTGCTGAATGTATTTTGAAATGTAACCACTGGTCAAGCAATCTTAAATTCCTAAAACTAGATCTAAATCATCTGCCTTAATTCCCCCATAAATCAAACTGTTCATGGTTATTCTATTCCTTTTTTAAAATATTTATTTATTTATTTATTTTAGTTATCGGCGGACACAACATCTTTGTTTGTATGTGGTGCTGAGGATCGAACCCTGGCCGCACGCATGCCAGGCGAGCGCGCTACCGCTTGAGCTACATCCCCAGCCCTCTATTCCTTTAAATCAATGTCTCTGTTCAATTCCATTTTTATAAGTCAATGTAGATGATTATTTCTACTAGAGTTAGCACCACAAAGAAGGTCTATCACAATAAGCACTAGTAGCCAAATTCTTCTTCACTGGCCCTCCTATAGCTAAATCTTTAGGCAAAAATACCCAACCGAATTGCTTCAGGGGAAAAAAAAAAAAAGAAGAAGGTGAAGACACAGTGTGCTGGTATTTTAACTCTTTGAAATGCCACGTTTTAAATAAACTAAGCACAGCAATCCAACTATTCAGACTGATTTAAATTTGGTTTCCTTTACAACAACAATAGTTGGCACTAACATACTGCCTATCCTCCAAAAACCTAAAAACACTTTACACATTTCCCATTCACACTAACAGCTTCCACAAAGCAGCTCTAACAGGCACAGAATTCTGCTGCTGGGCAGCACACCTTCTCATGCTGTGGCAGGATAAAGATGCCAGATGCTTCCTGCACACACTGGGATATATTTTCATCCCCACTCATGTCAGACCCTATCTCAGTGATTTGGGCCCAGTATTTATGATGGTTATCACAAGTTTCTAGGGAAGTTCCCTAAGAATCTTCTTCAAATTCTGATGGAATAATGGGTGGCATAATAGTGACAATGAACAAGGAGTATCCTTGGGAAAGATGAGTAACCAGTCATCATTTTAACATGAGGGTGGAAAGGACACGGTGGGGTTGTATAGAGAATGTCCATTAACATGGGCATACTAGTATATACAACATGGTGGGTCAAGGAAGATACCGAGTCTATTTTAGAGATTTCCAGATACATAACTTCACAAAACTGATGCTCAGAAAATCCTGGAATGAAAACCAAAAACGCTGGCATAACTGCAACAGAAACACTAAGCTAGCATAATTCAAGCAAAAATGAGCAATATTCCCAAACAACAACAAAAAACCTTCAAGCCATCTATGAGCCTAAGGAGCAGCATTAGTCATAGCTTGAGTCCTAAAGGTCACAGAGGTCCTATAAATATAAAAATGAAAGAATAAGAACAAATCACTCAACTTAATTTGTTCCCTTGGGGACAAATCTTCTTAGTCTTTCTTAAGGCACAGGTAACATTCAATAGCAAAAAAAAAAAAAAAAAAAAAAAGCATGAAAATTTACATAGAATGAATTTGTCAGAGGTGAAGACTTAGTCATAGAACTTTGAGTGCTACTTTCCCTAGTCATGCTTTTTTTAAATATAGTTGGGACTAAAACCAGTTCCCCTGTCTCTATCCCATAATCTTTTCACCATTTGTGTTACTCCCTCCTTAACAAAGATCAAAGTAGGAGCAGAAGTGGACCACAAAATTTCTACTGCTAATCACAGGAATGTTGATATCAAAGATTCCCATTGAATAGCTTCTGAGGAGCATCTTAGCTTTAACTCCATGCTAAGCTATTGAGCAGAGAAAGATAAGTAGCTTCCCTGGCTGCAGTGCATGAGCTGGTATAATCCTCACAATCTGCTGTTTCTAGAAGGAATGTGTCTGTCCTGCTATTTTGAGTATACTTGATTGCTTTCTGCCATATGTACTAGACTTTGTATTAGAAACATTTCCTCATCAAAGCCCTGGGCTAGTTAAAATTACATAAAAATGGAAAAAATTATTCTATTCCAGGTTAGCAATCATAGCCATAGTCTTCCAGATTCACCTATTGATCTTTGCCTCCAGAGTTCTAATAAGAACAAAAGAGTAGAAAAAAGAAAGGTCAGGCATTCTCTAGAGCAAAGAAGAGAGGCAACTATACTTTGTACATAGAACTGACAATTGGGCACATGGCCCCCATGATAAGTACATGCAATGAAGCTGATTTCCTGAGACTGTCATCCTGTTGTACATTCAATATTTGTTAATTGTATAAAGGGCAAAAAAAAAAACCCTATAGGTTTTTAAGATAGATTGGGTGATTTTTTTCCAGTAAATAGTCATTCCTTTCCTATCCTAACTTCCATAAGAAAAGAATAATTCTCTGAGCCATTGACATTGAGCAATGGAACACAAGAAAATATGTGAGTAGACACTGGGAACGTGCTTACTTAGCTGGGCTTGCGCTTTATGCTACTACTTTCTGTCATGAGAATCATTTATAATTACTGGCTCAAAAAGAAAAAAAGACATGGAGCAAACCAGAATCTAAGATACAGCTGGACCCAAACCTAGCTGTTCAGTCAACCCCTAAACAAACCACTGACGCAAGATCAAGCAATTAATGCTAGTTGTTGCACATGGTGTATACTACCAAGATTTTGCTATGAACTGTTACTCAGCAACAGCTAGCTAACACAGTAGCATGAAATATTATTTTTGTATGAACTTAAGCCCTATAGTTTTTCAGGTCTATCACATTGTCCAAATTACTTGCCCTAAATCCAAGATTCCTTGTAAAAACATCAGGATGATACATATTTTATGGGGTTTTTATGAGTCTTACTTAATTTAGTAGATAGAAAGCATTCCAGTGTTTCTGAAAAATATCAGTTATTTTTATTAATATTAATATTTTCCAAAATTTAAGTATATTTGACTCTATGTCTAGAGGAAACAGCAAAGCACCAATTAGGCCCAGCTTTACACTCCTGTGTGGGGGACAAATTTATTCAACCAAGAAGGCAAGAGAATAAATCAAGTGCGTAGTAATGCCAGCCCTCATCTTTCTAAGGAGGGAATGATACATAGTCTCAATTTCATACTACACATCTATATAATGAATGCAGTCTGTTTTGTCCACACACACATACACACAAAACAATCTGCAGAACTCAGGTAACTTTTTTTCTTATTGGTTTGGATTAAAAAAAAATATTCCATATTACTGCAGAGGGAGACTTAGAATATAGACTTAGCACAATGAAAGAGCAAAAAACAAGGATTGTGGATAACAAAACTCAGCACAGTTGCCTTCTCCCATACATCACAGTGCTACAAGCACAAGAGAAAACTCTTAGAATTCATTCAATCTTTCAGAAGACTTTCTTCTTGGAAAGCATCAAATTGTGCATCCATAAAAGGCGATAACACAGCCCCCTTGGTAATGTTTTTGATAATTTCAGACTCACTGTCTTGTGATAAGGAAGAGGGGTAGCCAGGATGCCAGTCTCCTATAATAACAAAGATAAAACATTCAAAAGGACAACTCAGAGTGAAATGAGCTCCCCTATTAGCAGCCAAGATCCAAGTGCCTTCTTTTCTTGGACAGTGTCCTGACAAGTAAAAGCTGCTGAGGTCAAGTACCCTAAAGAACACTCCCAAATGCCACATGTGTTAATGCCATGCATCATTCCCTGAAGAAATTCCACTTTCAAACCTCCTGGAAAATGTCTTCAGAGTCCTCTGTTGACCCTCCTGACAGTTTTTTTGCTGCTGTGACTAAAGGACTTGAGCAGAACAGCTGTAGAGGAGGAAAAGTTTATTTGAGGGCTCTCGGTGTCAGAGATCTTAGTCCATAGAATGCCAGTTAGAATCCTCTGGGCTCAGGGTGAGGCTAAAAATGTGGAAAAGTGTGGCACAGGGAAGCAGCTCACATGATGATAAGGAAGCAGAGGGACAGACTGCAAGCACCTGATTCAAAATATAGACCCCCCATAGCCACGCCCCAAATGAACTCCTTCCTCCAGCCATACTCCACTTGCCTCCAGTTACTACCATAAGTTCATCCAGTCAGGGATTAATTTACTGACTAGTTTCAGGCTATAATACAATCATTTTTTCTTCTCAAACCTTGCATTGTCTCACACTGTGAGCTCTTAGGGGATACCTCACAGCTAAACCACAATACCTCCTGAGTTATCTCTCTTCCTCCTGTTGCTCTTTTGTAACCAGTTGTCAGGG